ACTAAAGCCGTAACTTGTAACAGAAATTAATAAATTGAGCCAGTAATCCCACTGTGAGTGAAATTGCATTCATAATTTAAAATATATCCTGTGTGTGGGAGTACAGTTTCAGAGTTACAGTTGGATGTGTGTGGGTGGGAAATATATTGTACTGGCTTTTTTAGGGCCTGGAGAGAATAGCTGAAGAAAAAAAGGAGTAGGAGCAAAGGGGAAAGTGCAGAAGAAAATAAAATGAAGGTGAGTGTGTTTCTGCATCCCAAGTGATAGTTTTTTTGGGAGAAAGGTCAATGCATTTTAAAAGGGATCATCTAACAAAGCTGTGAGCCAGCAAAACTGAAGATACGCAAGTCCGAGATGAAAAAAAGGCAAAGAAACAACCAGGAGATAAGGAGGTCTGTCACTGCTCTCAATTCTGCACCAGATTACATTTTTTGTCTCGGGCCATGCTGACAACAAAACAATCCGCAACCTCTGTTGTAGCTAAATATGTGACCGCAAAAAAAAGTAATAGTAATAATGATTAATACATTTAACTTGCTCACTTGAAATCAATCCTTTTAATAGCACAAAAGCCACTCTTTGTAATCAAGCTTTATTGCACTGATAATTGTTTTGTACTAATGTCTCTAATGAGCACCCATTAAAAAAAACAAAGCTGCCCCGTACAATACCTGCTGCCCACCACAGTTAATGGCAGGGGGCCCTGCTGAATATGAATGAGGGTTTGTTCTGTAGATGTATAGAGGCGGCTGGTTGGGTTAATTAGTGGGAACGTGGTTTCCTGTGGCGCTGAGAACCTGTAGAGCCCTCTTCTAGTCCTGGTGGGACATAATGAATGGTGCAGGCTGTGCTGTGTGCTCCGGGAGTCGGCAGCATTTTTGCTCTGGTGCCAGATAAGTTTTCGAGCCTATAGATGATGGTTGCCAAGTCCAGGTCTCTCGTGTGAAGGCTCATGAGTTCAAGTGGAAATGCAGTATAGGGTTGATTTTGTTATCAGCAATTGTGGCTTTGACTGTTCTGAGGTCGATTTCTGTGCCCACTTATTCATAATCAGGGTGGCTGGAGTATGCAAGGCAAGGCAGGAAGACATTGGCCAATTACAGAGTTATTACACATAAAATTAATTCAGTCTGAGTGCGCTAAAACTGGAACTCACTTCTCCTTCATTTATACTGATGACAAGTTCAAGACTCCTTTGCTTCCTTTCCCACATTGCCCCCCCCCCCTTCACTGCCTATCTGACTGAATTTGAACTACAAATACGAAAAATTACCAATGCCCAGCCATTTTAGACAAGAGGGTGGGAATTAACTGCAATCCAGGCGGTGTTAACTGTTCATATAATGGATGCACTGGTATAACTATTTGTCCCCACCCTGCATGCATGCAGCTGATGTTTGGTGCCTGCTGGGCAGATACCGAAACTTCAATTCTCAGTATTTGCTGATACCGAAATTTAAGATCTGTATATCTCACTGTGATTGGGGTCATTTTTATTTAGGCTAACACAAAGCCATGACTTGCTGTCTCACTAAAAAACTGAGTTGGTGGCTTGATGTGACTGATGCAACTGATTGTAAAAACACTGAATTCTAAATTGACAGTGATAAAGAAACTGAATCAGTCGTATCACAGCTGATATCTGATCCCTCATTAACTTGCCAGTACTGATTCAGAGTATCAGGCTGGCGTATCCCTAGTTAATAATCTGCTTGTATTATAGAGAAATAATACAAGCAGCAGAACATGTAGCTGCTCCATAACTGCAATGAGTGCAAGGACATCAACAGAAGCAGCTTGCTTTCAGCCCTGTCCATAGTATTTCCAGTTCCACTTGCATTTTGCCACAGGGAAATTTCATCTTGCCAGTTTTGGTCTGACCACACTGTCACATGCCTTCCTCACCCCTGTGGAGGTTTAAGATGGTGAACCTCCAGAGAGCCTGGAGGAAATGCACAGAAGTAAAATATTCAAACTCCTTTACCAAAAAAAAAAGGAGTGATATATACTTCTCCCAGGCCTCACTGTACCCTTAGGTCTCCCCTGTTGTGTAACCTTCCACTGGCCCCACAGTGTTCAGAGGAAATAGTCTTGGTTAAGTGGTCTGCCAGATAGCGTAGCTGCCATGTGCCAAATGAAAAGCTGGAAAGATATACATCAAGCGCTGAATAAAGCAATAAGGCCCAGCGGAATGTGAAACAATGGCTCCTTCCAGGTGGTGGTGTGCTGTGAGAGGAGTGGGGGGAATTGAATGAGACAGAAAGCTCGTCTGGCGGCCTGGCTGTTAGCATTGGACTTGGCAGCTCTCTGCCTGGGACATGCTGACAGGCAGGCGCGGCTGTCACAGCACATAAGTGCCTCCTTGCACAACCCCGGGCCCTGTAGTGCAGGTCGGCTCTCCTGCGTTCAGCTCACAGGGCCAGTCCCACACTCAAGCCACAGATCGTAGTGTGAATCAGGGGCATGTGTCATAGCCTTAGTTTATATGGTTGAAAGACTCTGTAAGGTGAGAAAGAAGCCACTGGTGACATCCTAGAAATGTGCAATGCACAGTGGTAATTATGTTCCTCATTAGAGAGGTAACTTCTGTGATTAATTGAGCCTGAGGTAGAGTATTTATACAAGCAGAGGCATAAAAATAAGAGTTAATCACTAAAAACAACTCAAGTACACAGATTCAAGCACAGTTATTTTTTATCCATGCTTCGCAAATCGATGATCCTTTACATGCATCATTCATTGACAGTTTCTTTTTTTGTTATCAGATGTACAGCCAGTCAGTAAAGCATAACATCAACATCAAGTACCCTATCCATAGACCTTGCAGAGAGACGTTAATAATGGAAAAGAAAGGGGTTGGATGTTGGATTGGACGCAGCCGCTGAGAGCCACATATTTACATTTTCCTCTTTAGCGCCGTAACATCAAGAAAGGTCAGTCCCCACTGTCTCACAGTCAAAATGTGTTGGGGCTTCCAACATGTTGCAATCATTCTCTTAGCAGCTGTTAAGCCTGCAAGCACTATACATTTCTGATATGTAGGGATCTTAAGTGAAGAGATGTCGTTCAGTAAATAAAACATGGTCACAGCCACTGTCTCTGATGTAAGTGCCGTCAGCTTAGAGGCTACACTTTGCCAAAATTGAGGTGGACAGGTGGACACTCCCATGTCATGTGAAGAAATGTGCCATGAGTCTTTAATGTGCACAAGGTGCAGAAGTCATCATTAATAATTTTCAAGAGACACATCTCTCGGGGGGTGCCATGTACGTCCTGAATTTACTGACAGTTTCTAAACAAAGATGTACGACTGTGGCTCAGGAGGTCGAGCGGGTCGTCCACTAACCGGAGGGTCGGTGGTTTGATATCCTGCTCCTTCAGTCTGCATTTCGGAGTGTCCTTGTGCAAGATACTGGATCCCAAATTGCCCCTGGTGTATGATCGGTGTGTGAATGTGCGTACATGGTAGAGAAAGAGCTGTATGTGTAGAAAAAAGCGCTGCATAAATGTATGTGTGAATGGATGAAAGCGCTTTGACTGGTCAATAAGACTAGAAGAGCCTTAAATAGGTGCTTTCCATTTACCATTTAAAATGACTCATTACTTTCATATTGTTTTATAATCAGTGTGTCTCACAGACTGGCTCTATTATTTAGTTATTTATAGGTATAGTTATTTATTTATTTTTTTTTTTACAATTTTGAAGTTTTTAATTTGTATATCATTTTAATTTTCACTGTTGTTTTAACTGTTAACTTGGTATTTTTATAGAATAAATGCTATCTACAGAGAGTGATGCAGGAATTACCCCCTCCATGCTAAAATCCTAAATACTAAAATGTGTTGAGGTGACTTCCATAGAAGCAGACTAGATTTGAAAATGCATTAAAATGATCTGTAACCTGCCGTACAGTAGCATACAGTAGAAGTGATAGGTAATATGAGCTACTGTATGCATCCAGACTGGTGCGCTGTCCTTCTGTGTGGTGTGTCTGGCAGTCAGTTCCCAGGCAGGCAATATCTGTGTTTGTTTAGATTACCTTACCGTGACCTTTGCTGTTGAAGCTGGATGTTTGCATAGCCCAGCCCGGTTGTTTTGACTAGCACAGTGTAAGCAACAGCTTTCTCAGCTTGTTTATCTCGTGAAAGTATCTGAAGACTTTTGTTTTTTAAATTAATTCCATGACATTTAAAAAAAAATGTTGCTATTCAGCTATTTCAACTCATGGCTGCCTGCTACAGAGCAAAAGGACATTTCTAACATGTCTTTCCTTGGTTTAGTGGTGGTAAACCATTTGACAAGTGCATATTGGCAGTATGAAAACAAGAAAAATATTATATAAAAAGAAAAGGAAAAAAAAATATTTTCCCATGGTTTTGAAGGGCTCTTCAGCAATATTATAAATCTGCTTTAATGCTGTAAATCCTTCTCCTTGTGTTTGCTGAATTTCTCATCGATCTTTCTTGGCATGTATAGGAAATCAAAGTCACCTAGAAGTGGGAACTCATCTGATTTCCTGCGATAAATTTGTCTTTGTACGCCTCCAAATGCCTTCATTTCATTGCTTGGGGGTGCATGTTAAGTGTATTGACTCATGGTTTGCGCTTTGACCCGGTGAAGGAAGACAAAGCACCCTGGCCTCATCTTCTGGCCTCGTCTTCTGGCCTTCAGGCACACTTGCATATCTCAGACACATTTTCTAATGATCTGTTGGACTAAATGTCTTTCAGCTGGAGAAATTACAGTATCAATTGGATGTGACTCTATAGAGTGAGAGGAGAAAGCAGATGGGAAGAGGGAAGATGAAAAGAGACTCAAAGAAAGATGAACTGAGATAATCCTTTTGAGATGATACAGTTAGAACAGACCTGGTTTGTATTTGTGGCTGGATTGCTTTTTCATGGGAATGAGGAAAGTGTCATTTCACTACAATACATTCATTCTGCTTTATATACCTGAAATCTGAAAGCCTTTTCTTTGTCTTTGTTCTCCCCTGCAGATGTGCTGTGGACTGCCGATGATTCCTCCACCTCCTCCAGTTCAAATTCAATGGCAGACAAAGACTGCACTTCCCACTGCTCTTGTTACCCCTGAGCTCACTGAGACAGATCTGGTCCACACCTAAACAACTGTCTACTATATTCTCTTCCGTCTCTGCTCATTTCCGATTCTTCAGTCCATCACCATGGCTTGTTTTCTGGCATCAGCCTTTCTTCTGGTTCTCCAGACATATGCTGCCCCACCTGAGTTTGTCCAACCAGGATTTGACATCACACTGGACCCCATGGATCTTGATTCTGGACTACCATCTAATGTCTCTGGAGACATGCCCTCATCTCCACCCCCAGGAACTAGTAAAAGAGCTCCACATAGTATCATTATCGGGGTACGCAAAGGGGGCACAAGAGCACTGTTGGAGATGCTAGACATACATCCCGAGGTTGCTGCTGCTGCCACCGAGGTGCACTTCTTTGACTGGGACGAGAACTATGCCAAGGGCTTTGAGTGGTACCGTGAGTTGATGCCCTACTCTTATCCACACCAGATCACAGTGGAGAAAACTCCTGGCTACTTCACGTCAGCCCTCGCACCAGAACGCATCTGTGCCATGAACTCTTCCATAAAGCTGCTATTGATCCTGCGAGACCCGGCCGAGCGGGTCATCTCTGACTACACCCAGGTGTACTTCAACCGGCTGGAGAACCACAAGCCGGTGCAAGCCATTGAGAACCTGCTAGTGCGCAACGGAGCCCTAAATATCCGGTACAAGGCCATTCAGAGGAGCCTCTATGACATCCACATGCGCAACTGGCTGCGTCACTTCCCCCTGGAACAAATACACATCGTAGATGGGGACGCTCTGATCCACGACCCCCTGCCAGAGCTTCAGAAGGTGGAGCGCTTCCTTAACTTGCCCCCCAGGATAGTGTCCTCCAACTTCTACTTCAACCAGACCAAGGGCTTTTACTGCATCCGAAGTGACGGTCGAGAGCGATGTCTGCATGAGTCTAAGGGACGTCCTCACCCAGCCGTCAACAGCACCGTCCTCCAACAGCTCCGCTCCTACCTACAGGAACACAACCGAACCTTCTTCAGGCTGGTGAAGCGCACCTTCGACTGGCAATAAGAAACCCTGATTACAAATCGGACTCAAAGGAGCCGCCACCTTGTCTGTGATGAGGACAAAAGGGGAGCATAAAGCACTTTACAGAACTGACACTCAGCGCCCCTTTGAATAGCCTCTTTATAACTACTGTTGTGATCTCTGGTGTCCACAGGGCAGTTATATTTACACGATAAGGCAAAAAAAATATATGAGAAACTGTAACTAGAGGTGTAAAATTAAATGGAAGAATCTCCAAGCTTAATAAATCATTTCTCTGTGCTGGAAGCGTTTAAGTGATCAAATTGCAGCGAAAACAAGTTTATGAAACCGATGAACTTTTTTTCCTCTCTCTTGTTTGATATTCTTGGTCTTGATAATAAATTGTTCTGCTTTCAAATGTAACACAAAAACTGGCATGTTTCTGTCTCTTTCCATTTCGTTCTGGCCATCAAAAACCCCCGAGTCCTCTAACCTGTATTATTTAGGGAGCATACTAAGGTAGGCAGAGGCATTAGAATAAGCCTTTGATTTGCTGTGGTGGAAGTTAGACATTAATGCAAGGAAATGGGTACCCTGGAGCAGCGCTTTAATAGTACAGGAATCACTAATGGCTTTGGACATCGAAGGTAGCCTGCGCCTGAAGCTAAATCAGTCAAAGCTCCGTAGTCAGCAAGCTCAAATCCACAGAGCTTCTGCTGCATTTTGCCAACAATTTGCTCAGGTGTTAAATGTAGTCATTAAAGTATATGCCTAACAGTGCTGTAAATCATTCACAAATGAAACTGTATCTTTGTAGATGTTTTTTTTTTCTTCTACACATTATCTCTTTTCTGAATCATACTGAGCACTCAGTTTTCCCAGAAACATCTTGTCGTCCTGTACACAACAGATAGTCATGGGTCATGTTTCTTTCATTGATTAGGCTTTAAACAGCAGCCAAAGCTACAGCTCCGCTGGGAACCGATATTCATGTGATCTCCCGTCTCTGTCTGCTGGAATAAGCACTATAACTCTCCTGAGGCAAGTAGTCATTGATGCTACATTGGATCCATATCCAGAACAGAACATGGGGGGTGGGGGGTGGGGTGGGGGGGTGATATAACTGTGGGCCATAAAGAAATATGCTGAATATTTATATGGATAGTGCAGTTCACGGGGGATCCGGAGTTTTAAATCATGATTAGTCTGGAAAATTATGTGATTTTCATGTGTGTACACAAGCTCTGTTTGATGACTGAATGAAATCACCCATAGCTCATCTTGCTCGGGGACTGTTCTCCTGTCCGTTCACCAGGGGGCACTTGGAACCCAGGGTAGCTCATGGGGGAACGGTGTGAGTAAATGTGTCTAGACGTGCTCTTTCTAGGATCCCCCTCTGTCGGTGCACACACAGGTGAAGGGCCCATGACAGTTACCTCGTGACCCTGGCCGACGCCTGTCTGCTCTGGTATGTATCACCCAGCCGCTCATCTGGAAGAGAACGAACTGTCCTAGGGCACAAATAGCCTCGCTCCACCACCACCACAACACACACACATTACCAATCATTCCCAAGGTGTTACACTGGCACAGCACAGTGTTTTCATTAAGCAGGTGGGCAGGAAGGACAAAAGGGCATGTTTTGCTTACAATATGAGAGTACACACTGAACAAATTCCCATTTACAGCCTGTATTTATTTGAGGCAAAGTTGACTGACTATGCTTGCTGTTTGCAGAAACACTGGGAGCTGCACAGTGCATCTGTAGCTGTCTAATGTTGGAAACTGAGGAGCTGCAGTCGAGCAATGGGTTGTTTAAGGATAAGGATATTTTTATCAGCAAATCCCCTGAAGTTCATATCATCACAACAAATGCAATGATAGGATCTTTTATGGCTTCTGTAGGCAGAGGCTTTTATACATTACATCAAGCTGTGACTACTCTGGATTTTTTTTTAGTAGGATAATTCAGTGTTGGTTTTAGTTTGTTTATGAGATTTGGTGATGATAATAAAAGGATAAAACGATCCCATGCCAAATGTATCCATGTGTTATTTTTACTGTTTATAGATCGAGGCCACTGTGGAAATTCTGGTCTTTATCGCGTTATTCCAAAACAAGAGTCTACAGTCATGCTAGCTGCTCTTTGAGGCTGTACGGCCACAGCAGCTAGCATGGCTAAAAGCAAGCTGTAATGTAAACTACATTAATCTGAAGCCAGCATTATCTTTATAATCTTTTTGCTTAAGAGCATGTTTTGACAGGGGATTCAATGGAGCAACCATCTGGTTACAAAGTCTGCCATTTAAATCTGACGTGAAAAACCAGCTGAAGTGCAGCCCTGTTATTAAAAACTCCACTGTGTTGTGCGTGAAGTAGTGTTGTGCTTAAAGGGCTATTTTGAGCACAACTTTTTTCGCGCGTTCTGAAAAAGCACATGTAGCTTTGGGCCTGACATACTTTAATGCAAGGAAAGTCATTTGAAAACCCTTGACACTAACAAGTTGCTTTAACTAATGGCTACTATTGAGTGAGTCACTTATCACTACATGTCTTTGATAACTGCCAACCTCAGGCGTAATTAAAGGTTTGAGAGGGTGGTCTGAAGTAATCTGCTGTAGATGTTTTGGCTGGTCTTGTCATCCTAGAAGCCTCTAATGATCTGTCTGGGATTGTGATTGATGAAGCACTTAGCATCGAATCAAAGCACAAGGAACGCTCGCTGCTTGCTAAGCTGTTTGCAAACTAACAGCCACTGTATTTGCATGATACAAGTCTATTACAGAGGTGTCCTTGATGTGAATTAATGACCTCTGTGTCAACATTAGAAGCAGAACCAAGTGCATATTAGGAGTTGACTGACATGGCTCAGCAGGTATACATTAGCTATAAACAGCACAGGTCAGTGAATCGTGCTACATTCAATAAGATGCAGATTGCAGTGTCTTCATTTTTTTTTTTTTTTTAATTCATGAACATTGCAGCATCTGCAGTGTCTCAACAAGTAATTCATTACACACTGAATGGTTGACTGTTTTATAGGATTTCAAGAGTAAGCTCATTGCCAGCTGAACGAGTGCCTTTGTGTTTATTTCTCTATTAAATACCCAGATATTCCACATAGCCGTGCACACAGGTGTGACCATCTGGATGATGCATCTGAGCTCTCATCACTATGAAGCTATTTCTAAAACAGTCCTTTGCAGAATAAAAAAAAAAGAAAAAGATTTTCATTCAGTTCTTCCAGCCAAGACATCAGCCAGCAGCAGTGGGGTGTTTTTAGTTCTATATTCACAGCTCAAATGCAAGAAGCCTGGGGGGAGTGATGCATACTATATAGCCAACAATGCCGTACACAAAACCAACCCACTGAAGCCTTTTACAGCTTGCTTGATCAGAAAAAGAACAATGAACATAAATCTAATGAGATCAGGGACCCGGAAACTGACATGTTTCCCAAAATACATGTTGGATTATCACAAACACAAAAGGCTCAGGAACATAAGAAGTGTAAAGATAAATGTGTTTTTCGCACATATTTTAAAGGCTCCTTGTGTTTTTTTTTTTTCCCTTTGTGATTACTTATTCATTTGTTTGTTGATTTATTTTTCATTGCTTCAGGTGCATAGGGCATGTGTTTGATGTGCTCCCATGGCAGTCTTTACTAAAGGGGAAGGAAGGCTGCTGCTGCTGCTGCATTCAGGTCAAAGGGAGGAGAAATAAACATGTCTGCTTATTTGTGGCTGCATTATAAAAGCCTCTGATTAATCCTTTGAGGCAAGGGAAAGAAAAAGGAGACAAAAAAAAAAAAAAAAAAACCTGAGGTGATCAAGGCTTCAAATGCAGAGCTCGTTGTAAAAAACTGTGTAGGCATGTGTGAGTGGTGGCAAAACGAAGCACAAGTTCTACATGCTGATGCTCTGCGCAGCGCTCTGATAGTTGACCTCTCGCTGTTCAGCAGGAGACAGGATGTCAATAGAGAGTCAGTGGTGAAGAGTTTCAGTGCTCCTCTTAGAAAATACCTTTTACAACCGGTTTATTCACTTTAACAGTCTCCATGCACGCAAACACACATCATGCAAACACTTACCTGGACAGGACTAAAGATCTTAGCAGACATGGAATGATGACAAACATATAAATTATTGTTATGTCTGACATTTCTCAAATTTTTCCATTTTACTTGTCAATATGGGAAATACTGCTTTTACTTCTTCAGGCTTTAAAAACTGAAATTGCTCTCAATTCAATCGCTCAACTCATAGACATACGCAAACCCTGGTGGAGGGTCAGTGGATCCTGCTTTGGTAAAGAACTGTGAAGTGGATGGAGCTATATTTGGGTGCCCTGGTTCCAAAAATTGAACTCTCTTTGATTTTGTTCATAGACAAGTTCATAAACTCTGGGGTTAAATGATCTTTACAAGAGGTTAACAGCTGTGGAAAATATCTGGTTATTTGATAAAAAGCTGAAGGTAAAAGACTGTGTACATCAAAAAAATAAGTTAACTACGACTCCCAAGGTAAGAAACAGCCATCACCCAGCTTAAGATTCTGTTACATGCACCACTAATGGCAGATGGAAGCTAAAGATTAAAACACAATCTGCATCTTAAATCAACTGACTTTTATATTATGAATCAATTCAGGATGAAACCAATAAATGTGTTCTGCATGTTTTGTATCAACAAAGTGAAACAACAGCACACTTTGAATTCACTACCACCACCAGTGGTGGCTGGGGTAATGAATTGTGAGGAGGGAGAGTGGGTTGTCTACTAATTGGACAGTTGTTGGTTCTTTATTTTAGGGTACACTAATAACAAGCCATACTTTGTATCAAATTAAATAAGAAGTAGGAATAAATAGTAGGACTGCCACTCAAAACATCAAGCCAATAGGACGTGTACATTGTCGCAATTGGTTGCTAATGTTTATCTGATCTTTTGCCAGGAGTGTAACATAAACATCTCCATTTTTGCTTAAAACTCATTGATCACTTGATCAGTTTCGTGTCAACTGTCCAACATGAACTGGTGAGCCAAGTTTGCCGAATGGAAAACTGTCGGCATTTCTGCTAACAGCAAGCATGCAAACACTAACTGACTTGCGGCTCTGGGAAGATAGCACAACGCTAACCGCTACCTTTACTTAACAAAGCTATTTGAACCGCAAAAACGAACAACAGATTTCACTTTACCTCTTCACCTCTAAGAAAGTCTAACAAATGTCTCAGTGGGAAATAAAGATGTCTTGGCAGTTTCTAGTGTTTGTGACATATGGGAGTAAAAACAATCACTACCTCCAGCCTCCACGGGACTCTGGACTACATCCAGGCTACGAAGGGGAACGAGCGCCCATGTGACCTGATGTGGTTTGATTTTAGTTTATGGTACGATTTTCCTCTAATGAGCAACAAATGAGTCGGTAAGAAAGTGAAACTATGTTAAATGAAGGCCAAATAATATTTTCCCAATATAATTTAGGATCACATTTGTCTAATTAAAACCTGTGTTGTTTA